AAAAAAAGTAATTATTCACATTTTTTAAAATTAATATCTATTTTAAATATCTTACCCATCAAAATGAAATCTGCAAGGAAAACAAGTGAAAAAAATATTGTTTAGGAATACACTGTATTTTCAACTTTTAAAAATAATTTTTTTTAATAAAATTAATGAAGTTTAATGACATTTTCTAGTTTCAAGCCTACAAGTAGTTTTAAACACACAATTTTTTTATAAACCATTAATTTTAAGCATGCATTACCAAATGCATCCCGTCACTTTAATTACTGATAAAATCAGTTAATTTCATTTGAAAAATTACAGCAATTTTATTGTTCTCTGTGAGTTAATGATCTCTCAAGGTCAATGATCACCATAAAATGTGTTAAAAGAGAATAATTTGAAATGTTCAGAAGTATTTTAAAAATAGGGAGGGAAAAAAAGGCAAATTGCACAACAGAAAAAGTTCATTAAACAGAAAATGTACTTAGCTATTTGGAGGTTATTTTATGAAAAAAATAGTAAAATGTTTTTGGTTCCAGAGGAAAGTTCCCAAAATACATAAATTCCCATAATAGAGGTTCGTAAAATAGAGGTTCGACTGTATTTAATATGCTAATCTAATTCAGTAATATTTCACGTCTATACTTATCAACAAAAAATATATACATATTTACAAAAATCTTATGGGATAAAATATGTTAATCATCAGTCACTGGGGTGCTTAATAAATATTAAAACAGTACATTTTTTATTCCCCTTTCATAATCAATATCTTTATTCCTTTAATATGAAATGAGATTGATTCAGTAATTTTCCAGAAACTTTTGTCAGAAAATGGAATGTAGAAAACAATTCTGGAAATGTCCTCACAAGATAAAGGTCTCACAAATATAAGATTTATGTGGTATATATATACATAGTATATTCAAAATAAACCTTAAAAACTTGATTGTCAATTGAAATAACTGAATAAGCTGTCCTTGCAAGAAATGAGAAAAGCTCAAGGGAAATTTTTAAAAAAATCATATTTACAAATTTCAAATAATTTTTAATTAGAACTCTACTAACAAGCATTCAATTTCTGGAGCAGGAAAAACCCCTACCTAGTTATTTCCTCTAGTAATTTCCATGCTTCTCAGCATAGCTAGATAAAATAAATATAATAGTAAATGGCTGAATGAGAAACAAATTAAGTTTATCAGTTAATTTCTTAACATATATTATATTCTAAAAAGAGATTTTACACAAGTAATTATATATACATAATTAGGTTCAGAATGCTCTAAATATTTTTTGCAAATTTTATTTAAATCCAATTGTTATTTCAAGAGATAAACAATAAATCAATCAATGGTCCATAAGACAAATTACTTCATCCAAATTATTGAGCTACAAAGTAACTGTTATGCTAAAATTATTGAACATTTAAAAAATATTTGATATAAATTACAATTACAGTATTTAAAACCAAATTTTAATAATAAGATTAAATCACTGTGTTTTTTTCCCTTTAGTAAATTTCAAACTTTATTCTTATGCTACCACAGTAGATTTTATTGTTTTTAGGCTTATTATGCATAATAATACACAGTCGGACCTCTATTTTGCAAAGTCGCTAAATCTCAAAAAAAATTTTGTTTTATAGGAAATTCATTTAAACAGAAATTCATCTTTTAATATACTTTATAAACAACATAAAACAAATTTTAAATTCATAAACACTATACATTACTTAAAAAAAGTAATTATTCACATTTTTTTTACAATGCCTACTATTAGTTCACTCTCATCCTATATATCTCTGCTCAAATTTTCAATTGTTAATAAAATACTTTCTATTCATCCATTCAAGTTCAAATACATTTTTTTAACTTGTAGTTCAGGGGTGGCCAACCTTTTTGGGAAGCGTGCCACAATCTGATAAAAAAAAATTACGCGTGCCACTTCCAACTTCTCCACCAAACTAAAAAGTATACAAAAGTGAAAAAAAGTTACTTATAGCATTATTATGCGTTATTTACACTAAAAACATATTTTTAAATGCAAGTTTCATATATATAAAATGTAAAAAAAAAATGGTATAACAAATGAAACAAAAGAATAAACTTATATATTTTATTGTTGATAAATTTTTGCACGATGAATCAGTTAGATTAGATACAAAATAAAAGAAAGCAACTTGAAACATTTAATTTTGAATGATGATTAAGCAGTTAGTACTTTCTTAATGTGGTTTTTGAATTTGTAATTTTTGTACTAATTCATCTATATTTGGATTAGTTCGTGAAGATGTTAACAAAATTGGGTGTTTTAGGTGCATATCAGTTAATTTTGAGTGATATTTTGATTTAATCCCGTTCATAACAGAAAACATTTCTTCACAAACATACAACAATATCTGACCGCTAAATCATGTAAATTTGGCAAATTGCTTGGTGGCACAAATTTCCAAAATTCTGTGTAATTCGGATAATTTGCGGTTAAAATAATTTCCTTATATTTGTTTTTCAGAGTAATATGGTGCTGTAGGTCAATAATTTCAATTTGTACCTGAGGTAGGTAGCAATTAATGCCTTGAAGAGAAATCGAAAAAGGACTAGTGAAAAGTTCAGTATTTTTGTTATCTTTAAAATTCTCAAACCTGGCACAGAAAGAATCCTGCAAAATGGATATTAAATTTTTAAATCTATCATAGTTTGGAACATTACTAACTTTGGCAGATAATTCCTGCATGTGTGAATGGGAAATTAGTTAATTTTTTCTCTACAAAATCCAAACAAAAAACAAAAGTTTGTTCACAAAAGAAGATATATAACCAACTAGGGTAGGAAAAATACAATTTTTTTCCTGTAATCTTAAATTTAAATTGTTTAAATATTCCATTATATCGGTAAGAAAAGCTAAGCCCCACAGCCAATTTTCACTTCTGAGGAGCGAGCATTCACTGGGCAGTTCATCATTTTCTTCCAGATATTCTAAAACACAATCCCTCAAACTCCAAAATCTCGCAAGTGAACTGTCTTTGGAAAGCCAGTGCACACTACAATTGAAGGAGTAACTCGCCATTTTCTTCCGTTTCTCCAGGGAAAAGCGTATGAAATCTTCATCGATTCAGAGCACGAGCTCGCATTTTGTTGATACAGTGCATCACAGGGTTAACAACGAAAGATAAGTTTAAGTCTTCGGCACAAAGAGCTTCTTGATGGATAATACAATGATAATTGAAAACTTTTCTTCCCAAATAATTTTCAAGCAATGCAACAAAATCTTTTATCGTGCCACCCATGCAAGGTGTTCCATCTGTGCAAATACTGTCTAATTTTGTCCATTCTACTTTGTTAACTTCAATTACATTTTCAAGTTCCTTAAAAATGTCTTCACCTGCTAGTTGGTGCAAATCAAGAAGTTCAAAGTATCAAAATTATTGTTCATATAACGCTCAAAGATGCTTAACTGTGCATTATGTCTGTGATATCACAGCTTTCATCTAAAGTTAATGCAAAATATTTACAATTTTGAAGTCCAGAGACAATTTGTGTTCCAACATCCTGGCCCATGTAACCTATGACGCTTGACGGTATTTTTAGACAAAGCTATTTTATCAACCATATTTTTGGCATTTAGATCACCGCAATTTTGGGCGAAAACTAAAAAGGCTACTTTTTTTTATTATCTACTCTCCATCAGAATATGGTTTTTCATGAGGGTTAACAACAAAGAAAGTTCATAAGAAGCCTTTACCATTGTTTCCATTTCGTCATTTGTCTTCTGGAACAAAGATTTTTGGCCTGCTAAAGATTACTTTTTTTTATTGATAAATTCTGTTAGCAAATTTGATTCAACAGGATATTTGCTGTTGAAATCACTATACAGTTGTTTAAAATGACGGTCTAAGTTAAATTTTTTTGGAACTGCTATACAAATTCCACATATCAAACAAAGAGGCTTGGGAGCATTTTGATGTGTTAACACGTTTTGCTCTTCCCAGACAATTTTAAAATCACATGCTGCAATATCCTCTTCACATTTTCTTTTCGATGTCGAAGATTTACTCAAAAACATATTGGAAATAAAAGATTTTAAGCAACTACGCTCAACGCAAAAATCTAAAAACAGTTTTAGAAAAGGAAAAAGCTTAACGTCTCGCTAAACAGAGTTTAAAATCAACTGAATCTGACAGCTAGAAAAAAATCTGTCGATGTTATGCTGCAAATTTTCTAGGCTCCGAATCCAGTATTTTGATTAGTCGTGGATGCAAGTTCTCACTCTTTCTGCTTTATAAAGCAGCTACTTTGTGTAGATAGAATTACTTCTAACGTAGCAACAACTTCTCTTTTTATATATTGCCGAATTACTTCGACCCATAACAGAAAATGTAAATAACCAACACCTTTGGAAAAATCTTTTTATCTGACATTACGCTGACAGCTATAAACACTAAACTTCAAAACTGCAAGGGGAAGCTGAAATTCGAATAGATATCCCAGATGTTAAAAATTAACCGCCCCTGAGAGAGGGTGACTTTTTGGGCAAATTCGACCGTCCAAGAGAGAAAGAGAATTTATTTGTTTTTAGTCTCACGTTACTCATTCTTTTCTCGGAACATTACAATGCTGTGGAATTGTAAATTTTGGAGCATGATCTCATTTTTGGCGCTATACTGAAAAAAAGAAAAAATCTTGCTTAGTGCCTTTAAAATCTCACGCTGAAAATTTCTGTTTTTTACGTATTCTCTTCATGATAATTTTTTATTGTAATTCAATTATTTCAGTGTAATCTTTTCAAACATTTTTGTAATTTTTCAATAAGTCTTCGCGTGCCACAGTTACGACTCCTGCGTGCCACATTGTGGCACGCGTGCCGTGGGTTGGCCACCCCTGTTGTAGTTAACACTTGATGTTAATACAGTTCTTTCAAATATTAATACATTAATTAAATTAAAAAATGAATAAATAGGAACAAACAAAAATAATAGTCCAACAGCATATATAGAAAGGAAAATCGTTAGTTGCGTCCCTGTAGCACAATGGTTACTGCATTAGACTTCTAATCTAAAAGTTCGAATCTCACATGGGATGGCCTAATTTCTGAGAATGTGATTTTTTTTTTACTATACTACTTTATTACAATGTAATTTAATTAATGAATAAATAATAAACTAAAAAAAGTAGTCCAACACCATATATAGAAAGGAAAATGGAAAATTGCAAGGAAAATTGCTTTCTATTTTGTCACTGAATATTGTGATTTTGTCAGATGTACATAAATATTTATATAATAATTGTAAATATTTAATAAAAGTAACTAAAATAAAAAGTTTCGTTGTTGACCTAAGTAGGAATAGACTTAAAAAATTTTTTCATACTACTTAATGCAAATTTTATCTTATCCATCAAAAAGAAATTTGCAAGGAAAACAAGAAAAAAAGACATTGCAATGTATTTTCAATGAATTTTTTAACAGCATTTTCTAACTTTAAGCCTGCGAGTAATTTTAAATGTACTTTACTTTATAACCAGTAATTTTCAAAATACGACCTTAAATTTTAATTATTGATAAAATCTGTTAGATTTTTTTGAGTTTTTTATTTCAAAAATTATAACCATTTGATTGCTCCAGGCAAGTTAGACACCTGGTTATACTAAATTAAGGTCCCTGATCACCATAAAATGTGCTAAAAGAGAGAAAAATTTGAAAAATATCCTGAAATATTTTTAAAATAGGGAGATAAAAAATCAAATTTCAAGAAAAAGTTCATTACATATAAAATGCACTTTGGAGATTATTTTACAAAGACCTCCAAACATATTGTTATTTACAAAGTAAAATGTTCATGGTTTCAAGAAAAATTTTGCAAAATACAGTAATTTGTAAAATAGAGGTTTGTTATACAGAGGTATGACTGTATTTACAAGTTTTTTTTTATAGTTGCAAGGCCTATATTTAGCTGGGCTGCCCTCACCCCCAAAAGAAACATTTATCAAGACTAAATTTCATAAATTCGTAAAAAGGAAATAAAAGGGGTGGAATGACAAAAATTGATGATAAAGAGAAAGATCACTTGTGCATCAATACACCCATGCATTACCACACAGCAAAATTCATGGGGAAAAAAACATTTACTTTAGTAAATTGGGCCTCTGATTGGCACATAATTTAAAACTTTGGGGACAGCACTTAATATAACTTAAAAGTTTGCTTACATTCTTGACCAGAAAATCAGTTACGTAAAAAAAAAGTTGTAATGTTTAAATTTCTTTTAAGAAATTATGTTAGTTAATACATTATCTTAAATTTTAGTTTCATTTCAGCAAATCATAATAATAATTTTGTTGATAAAAACTAAGAAAATTATTAAAGGTAATTTTTTTTTTGAAAAATGCATAAATATTTCCAATATTACAATATGCTTCATTTACTCCTTTTAAAAACTATAAGAAAACTATTTGTGAAGCTAATTATGTTACTTTTAATATTTGCTTTTTTTTAAAAAAATTCAGAATCAAAATTGAAAAAACATTAGTTAAAATTTCCATGGGATAGAATACATCAGTATTCATGAATCAAAAATGAAAAACTAACTCTATGTACTGATTTTTAAATTTAATCAATATCCACATCAACAAGAAAAAACTATTTTGTAGCAATGAAAAGTAGATATTTACCAAAATATTTCCGAATTGTTACAATTCCAGATTGAAGCAAATGGGAAATTTCAACATTTTCTTCTTCCGTTTGTTCAATAGGCCAACTGAAAAATTTAATTTCAAATAAAACAATTTTTTAAATCAACATATTTTTAATGTATACAGACAATAATATTGAACATACTTTACAGTAACAAATCTTCATCTCAGAAATGCATTCATAAAATTGAAGCAAAAAGAAAAACTATTTCATTAATAAACACTCATTTTTCCCAAACTTTCTTATCTTTAAAACATCTAACATTTGGAAATGTTATCAGTCATCCAAACTATTTATAAACCTTATGATAATGCAAACATATATATATATATATTCTAAAAAATTTTTAATTAATACTAAATTAAAATATAGAAGATAAATTAAATGTCCATTTAGTGATAAAGAGAAATATAAATTAAGATTAGGAAGATGTTATCTGTGTTTAAATTAAATTCATCCAAGAGCTTAAAAAATGCTATGAACACAGAATCTTAATATTCTGAAATGCATTCATTTATGAAATGAAATCTGAGCTGATATCTCACTTACCAATTTTAATTAATAATGAATTTATTTGCTCCATGAACTTTTTAAAAATTCAAAATCAAAATACATTAAGCTGTATCTTACAAATGAATCAAAAATAAATGGGGAAAAAATTGAATAAGATCCTATAAATATTCAAATCTAAAATTAACAACAAAACACATCAAAAACAAACATTGGTATACAACTTCCTATTATATCTAACTTCAGAAAATGCTATAAAATGTTAGATAATTTGAAAATAAAATTACCCATTTTTACTTAAAAACTGAAACTCTGGAGGCAAAGAAGGAACTTTGGAGTACAATAGTTTACGAAGTTCATTACATGTTAAGGTTATACTGCAGTGTGTGATAGAACCTATTATTACACCCTCATTTTGTGTACGAGAATCATTTGAAAACACAAAATTATCAGATTTCAATCGAATACCAATCAAATCCGGACATTCGTCTATATTCATTTCAGTAAAACCTGAAACAAAGATATTTATATAATACATAAAATTTAAGTACATGAAAAAATAATAAAAATCTAAATTAAATACTGAAATAAAAATTTACTTCATTAAAACATTTCATTTGAATTTAATTTTATCTGCTACATCAATAACAATTCCAGAAAAGTGACTGGTTTCAATTCCAAGACTAAGTTTAACAAAAATACTTACTTATTATCAGCCATTTCAATCTAGCATAACTTTCTCTTGCTTACTTTTAACACACATTTATCTAAAAATAAACTAATTAGCATAAATTTACTAAAATACTTTCATACTTCCTATTCAAACCAAAGGTGACATTTGGGAAAGAGGAATTTTTTAATAGATTGTTTAGCTACTAATTATGCAAATATTCATAACTCTTTAGATTTCTTTAGAGAAACTGGCCTCATCTAATCGGAATGTTTGTGCTCTAATTGCAATATTCCAATACTTATTCAAAATGGTGTAATCTTAACTTATAATTTTAATTTCATAATTTCTTATAAATCATTAAACTACCCAAATAAACATTGGCAAGTAATATCACCAATGTCAACAACAGACACAAGATAGGGGATTAAGACCTCATCAGACATCATTGCCCTGATGACCATTCGACTGTATTAATATTCCTATGATGTGTTTGCTTCTAAGAATCCTCTCATGGCTACACATGAATTTATAGAAATCCAAGGGAGAATAAGGCTTGTGGCCCAACAAAAACCACATGACATGGATCTTGGGTAAGTTGCAGCAAACTCAGGGGGAGAAATACAATTGATATTGCAGATGAATCATATTTCTATTCTATTTATATTTAAGTTATTTAATGCAAGTTATTTTATTCTTATTATCTTATTCATATTTAATTTTACTATTTTTAATTTTATTTTCATTTGTGTTGTTTATTTTAATGTTTCTTTTCCAAGCTTAATGCATGCTTAAGTGGCTATGATGATGAGTGAGTGAGTGAGTGAATATTAACGTCGCACTGTCTTAGCAACACGAGGGCTTTTGGCGACAGTCAGCGTAATTTTGAACCATGGTCAAGTGATGCGAATGACACCTGAGCTGGCACCCCCCTCTCCTAACAACCACACCACACCAACGGGAGGACGTTTGAGCTCTCGACAGATTTAACGTGCATCGCTCCCCTACACGGCAGGTGTGGTTATGATGATAAATTGAGCTATTTGTTCATAATTAAGCTTAATCACTTATAAAATAGATTTATTTAAAAATTTAATGTAGTTTTGTTAATTAATATTTACATGTTTCTACAAAAATTCCTCTTTTCACAACAACTTTTCTAGTTTAATATATATGTAAGAAATAAGCCTATTTTTTAAAAATATTAGATATTTCATTTCCATGCTTCTACCAGAATTATAAAGAATCCCCGAGTTAATTTTTCCGACAGATGTACGGGAAGAAGGGGGGGGGGTTAAGACTACCGCTTTTCATGTTGTTTCGGAATAGCGAAGCATTTTATAACCGTTTTCCAAAGCCAACAACAACGAAGCTCCAAAATTATTTTGATGTATACTTTTTATTCCTATTGCAAAAAATATCGAAGTCCCTACATGAAAATTCAAATATTTATCATCATTTTTTGTTCTTGCAATAATTTTATTTGATTTCAATTGCCTCACAAATAAAGAGTTTGAATGAACTTCAAAAGTCTTATAATTTTCTAATGAGAGGGGGATATGATCAACAAACACAAAAATAATATTAATTTTATAACTTACTTTTATTTTGTTACGACGATATCTGTTTACAACCGTAATGTCAGCGGAAAAACTATTCTAAAGCACTTTTTTTTGTCATTAAGTACTTCCATTTACAACAATAACATGAAAATAAATAGCTGCCTTACCGGTAAATAACTCATTTGTTAATCACAGCACTGTCATATTCTCTGGTTGGCTTAGACGCAACAACATGACGAAACGAAACTTATGTCACTTCAATTCAGTTCATTATTGTCTATGTTGTTGCCATGTTACATAAAATATCCAGAAAATATTTAAGTCTTGGTTTTGATTTTGTAATAAAAGACAGCCGTGCATTATCTAAGCCAGAAGAAAAAACTACATGAAGGGACATTTGAACGTATAGACCGGCTGGGCTCGTGTCGTTCTCTACTCGACCGCTATAAGATCATGTGATCTGAATAATCTCGTTGAACGCAATATTCTCATGACTAAAACTAATAAATCGAATGATTCATTCACGTTCGCATAATTTAAGAATTGAAAATAAATATTATGAACAGTTGATTTTTTTTATGACGTATTTAATGAGTTTGCAAATTTAAAATGTAGAAGGCGAATTTTTAATAAAATTTCATTTTGTAAT